AGTCCTCAGAAAAATGAGCTTTGAAGAACTCAAACACTCTTTTCTTCACTTGACAGAGGACCTCATACATCACCTCCCCCTCTATAATTGAATTGATTTCATTCCTTATTTGTCTACATGTAGTCATGACATGAAAAAATCTTGTATTCTTGTCTCCATTTAAAGCCCAATTTAATCTTGACTTTTGAAACCATAGTCTCTCTACCATCTTACTCAACCCCCACACTTCTTCTCTAACCTCCATTCTTCTTGTTTTTTCAGATTCATCAAGATCTCTATTCTCAGCAACAAGATCAAAGTTGTGCAGTTCATTCTCAGCTGCTTTTAGATTATTGATTACATTACCAAAGAACTCTACATTCCATTTTTTAGGCCTGCCTTCAAAGTCTTCAATTTATTTAACAAAATGAACCTAGCCCAGCCTAGCCTTCTATTCTGGCCTCTTTCCAATTGTTTTCCCAAAAAGGGAGAAGATTTTTGTGTAGGAACCATGCATTCTGGACGCTGAAGGGTTTAGGGCCCCAGTCCCTTTCATCCTCCATTAGTAGAAGAGGACTATGATCAGACAGTAGCCTTGGCAGTCCCCATAATTTTAACTTAAAAGACTCTAACCATTTCGGGTCTACTAAAACTCTGTCAATTCGATTCCACTTTTCACCGTCACATGAATTGCACCAGGTATACTTCCTTCCTAGCAAAGGCAGATCAGATACTTCGCATTTATCACTCATTCAATTCCCTCATGCCCTTATCCCTTCTTGAACACCCTTTTCTTTCACCAATGTTTCTTATCTCATTGAAGTCCCCACCCATGCACCAAAGCTTAGGGAATTCCTCTTTCAGCTTTACTAAACAGTCCCACAGCTTTCCTCTTATCATTAGGTGCATAGATGTTTAATATAACACACTCAAAAGAATAGAAAAATGTACCTGACAGAAGGAGAAATCTCCTGTTGCTACAGCTTTCTGAAATTTGAAAAACATCTGGATCCCAAACACAGAGTAAACCACCAACTGAGCCTTCAGAATCCACAGCCAAAAACTCTACTTTATCTCTCACCCACATGGATTTTATTTCTGCTTCAGAGATTTCTGTTTTTTTTTTTGGTTTCTTGGAGGAGCACTATATCCACATTTCTTTCCTGAAAGAGCTTCCTAAGCTTACTTTGCTTCCCTTTCTTCCCCAACCCTCTGATGTTCCACGATAATATCTTCATAACAACACATCCATACACCTCTACAGCCCCCCAGCAGATATAGTTCATATCCCAGCTGAAGCTCCCGTATCAATTCTGTCTTGATCCTTCACCTCGAGCTCCATTATTTTCTTTATCACAACATCCTCCTTCATATTGTACTTCACGCCCAAAATTTCCCCAATTTCCAGAGTTGCTTGGGCTTCCTCCAGTAAAAGTCTTCCTTGATCAACCCCATTGTTGGTAGAGGTTGATAGGCAGACTGCTGGTATTGCTGTTCTTCAAGTTGTAGCCTTTGAGGTTGCCTTACTAGTTGAAGCCCCTCTTTGGGCATACTTCCTAAGAAGACTTAGAGAGCCCTTAGTTGGAAACTGATAGAAGGCAGCTGGAGTAGTTCTAACCTCCTTCGTACCCTTCATATTTTTTACAGGTTGAGATTTACGCTTCATCTCCTGGGCTTCAGATACACTTGATTCTCTTACACCCGGCCCAAGAGCACCATAACCTTCCATAATGCAAGCAACGTGGCCTGTAGGCCCAGGTTGGTCTTGGTTCTCTTGGTTCTGCCCATGTCCTTTATTTATCCTCTTGTTGTGGGCCAAAACCACTTCAATTTCTATCCCAGGCCTGTTAAGACTTGGCCCACTAAAGCTTCGAACAAAGCTTGATGTGAGGACATGCTCAACAATGTTCTGACATTTGCTGGAGTCTGCAGCTACTTTGTTGGTTCCCAACACCCATCATGACCTTGCATGCCTTACCACTAGTCTCCACCCTCACGCCACCACTAGCTCTGCAACTACTGTATCACACTTTTCATCCCCCACCTGCTCCACCTCCACACTCATACTCTCTCTACGTGCCTTACAACCTACAATCTCTTCAACTCTAGGGGCCAGTGCATAGTCTGAGTCATCCTCCATGTCATCCTCATCTTCCTCCTCATTGTTGCTCCTAACCAGGCCCTGTATCACTGGTTCATTTGAGCTACATTTCTTCTCCTGCAGTTGGACCTTCTGGCACTTGCACACCATATTCATAGTTTTTACCATCACCAATTGTTCTTCACATACTCTTACTGGATACAAGAGACCTTTGCACTCCAACTTAATAACCTTATTGATTGGTTCCATGCATTTGGTGGAGATCTTAAGCTTGGCACACGCAAAGGACTTAGGATGGTCACTATCATCTTCAAAGCAAAGAAAATTTCCCCACAGCCCACCGATTTTCCTCAGATTTGTACTGTTTTATAAGTTTAATGGAATACTATAGCAGCTGATCTATACACTCCTTTTCTATTCCAGAACCAGTCCATCATTTCCTTTCAAAATAGCCTCGCACCACTCCAAAATCAGCTCCTTTATAGGCTGCATTTTTAATACCTTCTCCTCCTTTGTCTTGAATGTCAACACCACATCTCGGCCTCCACTCTCACGGATCAGCACACCTTCCATACCTATTCCTTGAAGTTTCTTCTTCAGGTTGACATTTACGTGCTCATCCTTTAAGCGAACCACTACACTTTCGTACAGCTACCCATTCCCTATTTCCTCAGCTTTCAGAGTAAATCTGTCATTCTGAGCATTACCTTGTCCTACCACTGCTTCTGCACATGACTTTTGGACTGTAGATACTCCAATCCTGCTTCTTCCATCCTTTTGGTAGCCATTGTATCTTGTTGCTTGAAGACGCACAGGGCTTGTGGCACCTTGTCCCTCTACCTTTTCCTTGCCAAAAGCTGCATACTTCACCTCTATTGCCGTATCGTCCACCCATAATCCATTTGCTTTTTGAACAGCTACTGTTGCAGTTACAGAGCAGTCAAACCTTACAAACCCAAATCTTGTGTTAGTGAGCTTCCTTCTCTTTTGCGGAATAAAAACATCATTCACCACACCAAACTCAGAGAAGATGTTATACAGCCCCTTCGGATTCACTGATCTTGGTATATTATCCACAAATACCGTGAAGAAGCTTGTGCGTCCCTCAATCACTCCTCTTCTTTGTCCTATTCGATGTCCTCCCCTTTGTCTCACAACAGGAATCCACCCCCTAGCTTAGCTCCTTCCATCCTAACTTTTTTTGCTCCGTGTCTTTGAACCATCGACCTCCAATCACTTTTGGTATCCCTTTCCATAAAATTTTAATTTGGGTTGTATTGTATGTAGATCACCATGGACATAGATTTTTTTTTTATTTTTTATTATTATTTATGTTGGTATTTTTCCATAATAATACTAGGAAAATATATAAAATAAAATTAAATAGAAATGAAAAAATAATCTTGGTTTTTTTGTTTATATTTTATTATTAAAGAATGAAATACAAAATAAACAATGACAATATGAATAGATTACATAATGGATTCGTATAAACCAAAATCACTAGAACAAATTAGTAACATGGTCATATATAAATTAATATACTAAAAATAAATTGAATCTGGAAGAAATAGAGAACAAAATACGAGAGATGCAGACTGAAACTTGTGATGACACAGTTTTCTTAAAACATATTCGCCGCCATGCCAATGGGTGCTGGAGGAATGTCGGTGTCTGTCTACTAAGATACAACGATCAGCTATTACAAGAGCACCTTCTGAGTAGTTTCGGCAAATAGACTAACAGCAACACTCTCTTACTAACAAGAAACAAAGAAGGGGCTAACAAAAAGAATAAAGGAAAATTTATTTTAGTGTAAGAAAGGGTAAATTACAAATATACCCCTTGAGATTTGATTAAAATACGAATCACCTTTTGTGATTATGGAAATTAGATTCCACCCCTGACGTTTTTAATTTCATAACAAATCACCCATTTTATTAATAAATCATTAAATCAATTAATAGTTTTTAATGATGTTAAAAATATGTTTCAATTAATAATTTAAGTAATTTTATTATTGTATAGAAGAGTAATTATGAATTTTATTTTTTTAGTTAATTCTGTAAATAAAAAATTTAGACAAGGGGGTATATGTAATTTTTTAAATCACAAATGGGTAATCTATATTTTAAACAAATCTCAGGGGGTGTATTTGTAATTTATTTTATGAAAAACTATCTCTAATTTTATTATCTCAAAACACCATCTTCATTTTTTATCTCAAAAATCTCTCACCAAAGTTGGAGGGGAAAAGCCTATTTTATACTCGTAGAGGAGTTCCTAACCATGAAGACTATAGCATCAATTGCCATTAACCAAGGCCATCAAATGCTATCAACTCTACCCATTAGGGCTAAAGGTTCAAAACTCTAAAAGCATTATGTAAATCATAATGCGTATATAAGTCATAAGTTTGAGAATTAAATCAAATGGTTGCAAAATGAATACAGGTGTAGGTCACAACCCAATCCAAGTCCAATCTTAAATATATGCACAAGCTAAACCTAACACAATATAGCACAACTCAAGCTCAAGACTAAGTCCAACTTTAAATTCAAACACAACACATGCACATGCACATGCACAACCATAGGCCCAGTCCAGACCAAAACGAAGTCCAACTCTAAGTCCAAGTGCAAACCTAACTTTAATTGACACCCACTTTATGAAATAATTTCTCATTTACAACTTAATAGTTTTGGCTCATTATTTTTGTTTTATAATCTTCTCACTTAAGAAAATACAAACTCACTCAAACACATCTCAACCGACAGTTGAGTCTCACTTTAATTTCGAATTAAAATTATTAAAAAACCATTATATTCTGACAATTTATTTGCCTAGTTTTAATAATAATTTATTAATTTTAATTATCTAAATTAGACTCGACCGACTGCTTAGACTTACCCAATACCTTACTTCCCCCCTCCCCAATACTATATATATAAAGCAAGCAAGAGGTGGCAGGGTAACCAAAATCAGTTATGGGGTTTCAGATGGGTCATACAATCTTCTTGTACTGTCTCCTAGTTATAATAGCTGACTCAACAACAACAACAACTGGTAGTGAAGAAGCTTCAACTCATAGCTATGGCAGTGACTCACTCAACCGCACCAGTTTTCCACCTGGTTTCACCTTTGGGACAGCCTCTTCTGCATACCAGGTTCATATCTCAATTTCTTGTAATTTTTGTTTATATTTGAGCTACTAACTGTGTTTAAATTTTGGATTTGTGATAAAGGAAAAAAAATATATAGACAGAAAGAAAACAAAGTGCTCGATCCTATATTTGGTTGTGCTTTTTTTTTTTCTTTTCTTTTTTTTTTGTTGCTATTTTTTACTTTTACTTTTCAGAAAAAAAGGAGAATTGTTTTCGGTTTTATTTTATTTTTACCAATTCTTTAGAAAAGAACAAAAAGTTATTTGTGACATTTCAAAAACTGTTTTCGCTACAAAAAAATAAAATAAGTAATTGGAAAATGATGATTGTCGATTGTTTTCATTTGAATAGGTGAGAAAAGAGAGAAGGAAAATTGAATACATATTTAATTTTTTAATTATAGGGTTGTCTATAAACTAAAAGAAAAAGAAAAACAGTTATGCAGAATTAATTTAATTTATCTTTGATTTTTCTTTTCTCTTAACAAACCCAAGGCATCCAAACGAAATGTAAAGTTTTTTTTGATGTTTGAAATCTTACATGCTTGTGTTTGTATACTTTTTCTAGTACGAAGGTGGAGCAAATAAAGGTGGCAGAGGTCCCAGTATATGGGATACATTCACACACAAATATCCAGGTCTCACACACTCTCTCTCTCTCATCAAATTCTTTGGCCAAACGGTGGTACTAGATGCACCAATTACTGTACATACTAGTATACCAATTAGTGTTATGATATTATTATTGATCACATTTATTATACTAGTTATAAATACCCAAAACCATACAAATAATGTCATATCATCTGTTAGTACATTAGTGTGTATATTAATTGATATATATAGCATTATTCTTGGCCAAATTAATGTGAAATACGATTATTACAAGAATGAATATGTTTTAACTTAAATAATCATTTATTGTGTATGAGGCTTAAACAACCATTTGTAAGTATAATTATTGCAAAAACATCCTAATCCTATTAGCTGTTAAATTATTAATTTCCTCTCTATATATAGGAAAAAGTTAGAGATCATGAAATTTTTTTCATAAAAATAATCATGAAAGAGTTATGATCCTTGGGTTACCTTGATTAGTGTGTGGTGCTTTATTCTAAGTGTAATTCAAAGGTCACAAAGTTTTTATGATTATTCTTCTGGAAGGTTTTTTATGATACCTTACATTGCCGCTATATATATGTCCTCTTCTTCTTGTTATTCTTCTCTATTTCTAAAAATCGAATATTCTTTTAATGCCTTGGTGAATGGAGAATTTGATGAACTTGTTATGTTGTATATGTCTTTTTTTGCTTCCTTTTGTTCAATTGCAAGTGGCTATGTAATGAAGTTTGCCGCCCGCCATTTATCCTCTTATGCAGTTCAGAATAGAAAAAATGATTAAATTCATTTTACCTTTTTTTGGTCGGGAGTTGGACCGCTTTACCTTTCTTGTTTAAATATAATAAGAAAATCTTTATGTGATTTTAGATTAAAGTGTTATCATTAATTTTTTTATCTAAATTATTATAAACATCATTTTTAGAGTGAGTTTGATTTTTTAAAAATTTTAGTGAAATTAATACAATAAAAAGATAATTTTATTCTAATTTTCTCCAAATCTAAAATTATATTAATATGTTAATTAAAATACCATAAAATATTATTAAGAATTTATCTAAAATATAAATGTAATGAAAAATTGATTTAAAATATAATAAAATAAAAATATACAACAAATAATACTTAAGAATTGAATTAGACTATAATTAAATTAAAAATAGATTAACATGTTACGGATTATAATAAATAATTAAGAATTTAGGATTAATTGTGATCTAAAACATTAAATTAAATTAAAATTAGATTAATAAGTTAGTAATTATAATAAATAATTATGATATAAAATAATTAAATTAAAATTAGAATAAAAAGTTAAGAATTATAATAAATGATTAAGAATTTATAATTAATTGTGATTTAATTGAATTAACGTTAGACATTATAAATTATGTATATTAATAGGAGAGAGAAAGAAAATAACAAAAAAATATAGGTTTGAGGGTAGTAGTCATTTTGCATCTATAGGTAAAATAATGGTATTAATGGTTGCACTTTAATCCAAAATCATATAAAAATTTTCTGATTATATTTAAACGATAAAAAGGTAAAATGGTCTAGTTTCAAACTACGAAAAAGTAAAATGAATTTAACCTTAGAAAAAATAGCAATACTAATAAAAATATAATGTAAATATTTCAATTCACATTGTACTGCCTTAAAATAATAATAATACAATGATGGTGTTATGAAGTTTGGTATTAATGGTTGCACTTTAATTCAAAATCATATAAGAATTTTCTGATTATATTTAAACGATAAAAAGGTAAAATGCTCTAGCTTCAAACTACGAAAAAGTAAAATGAATTTAACCTTAGAAAAAATAGCAATACTAATAAAAATATAATGTAAATATTTCAATTCACATTGTACTGCCTTATACTGCCTTAAAATAATAATAATACAATGATGGTGTTCTGAAGTTTTGATGGTTTGTTCTTGGTGGGTTGAGTTTTGGGTGTGTTTTTTGTTGGGTTATTTTTTTTCCTTCCCCTAGTCTCTGTTTGGTCCGTCACCAAACTTGGCTTAATACTAGTATATGATGGAACTTTCATATTGGTATTAACTTATTAGTTGAAATGAATATGTTTAGTTATGATACTTTTTATACTTGTCTTTTCTTTATTGATGTATTATTGGTGTACTTCTTTTCATCATTAATAAAGCTATTTTTTGTTGATAAAAAAAATACAATCATTGAGAAAAAGAAAAGAATAATTGGTGATAAATGCACTTTTATGAGCATGTATGGTATTAAATTGATCTATTTTGATTTTAAGAACATAATGAAATATATCGACAACAACTATAAAATATTATTTTAAACGGTATTTTTTTCTTTACCTTGTACTTTTTACATCTTTATTTTCTCTTATAATTTTATGCACTATTATCAATCTGTGATGCCCTCCACCGGTAGCGATAGGCTGGAAAGTGACCCAAAAAGTTACTGGCCAAGAGACAAATAGATAGAAGTGACTTAATCATTACATCACTTAGCTTATCTCCTAAAACTTTTAAAAAAATTTTAAAAAATAATTATTGTTAGAGACCCCAATTTTTCAAAAGTCCAGTAAAGTAAGGCATCATTTTGATAATTAGCCTAAGGCTTTACGGAATCTTGGGCCGCTCCTACAAAATAGGTGGGGTAATATGCTCTATCAAATTGTTGTTGTTCTTATGAACAAAAAAAACAAGAATAAAATTTAAGATAATTATTTCAAAAGGGTCTGGTTTTGGTCCAGTTCGTCATCGGATTGGACCGTGTTGTTGGGTTCATTAAGGCTACCACGGGTCTCGTTTTAAAAATATGAATCGTTAAATGTATAGCATTCGTTGAGTACTATATGCTTGTGAAAAATCACGTTGATCGGATATCGATAACTATGTGATCAAATCAGTTTTGTATAAAAAAATAGACGGTGAATAAATTAAAGGTTGATAAAAACTGTTTTGATCACATAGCTATCGATATTCAATCAACGTGATTTTTCACAGGCATATAACACTCGTCGAGTTTTACAAATTCAACGGTTCAAATTTTCAAAACGGGACTCGTGGTGGGCCTCGCGGGCCCAACAGCACGGTCCAGTCCGATGATGGACTGGACCAAATCCAGGCCCATTTCAAAAAATTTAAAGAGGAAATTATAACGGTAATTCTTATATTTTATTTTTTTTTATACCATTTTAGTTTTTATGATTTTAATTAATTCAATTTTAACTTTTAATTTTAAATTTTGTATTAATTTAGTCCCGTTAATAATGTTGTTAGGATTTCACTACAATATATGAGTTTTAGAGATTAAATATTTTGGTCACTAAAAGTGAAAATTTTGTTGCAAAAGACATTTATGGACCAATTTCTATCGTCGTGAGGATAGTTGCTAAAAGATTGTCCCGAAAAGTCAAAAATTTTAAAAATGTCACTAATAAATAGACTTTTAGAGAGAAAATCATTTGGTTTGAAAATGATTTATTTTTTGAGACAAAAAATTTGGTCCTAAAAGGATAATAATTCATCACTAATGGCCAATTTTCGTTACTAAAAATATAATGACACTTTTCGTAACAAAAATATTTAGTCCCTAAAAAATAATTTTGTCCTTAAATTTTGATTTCTAAAACTTTAATGTTTTGACAATTTTTTTACTAAATTGATTAAGATTAAAGACATTAAATTGATCAAAGTTATAATTTTGCTCTTACAATACAACAGATGCCCTTTAAGTGCACATTTTTCACAAAAATCAATTAAACTAATTTAAAACAATTAAAATTTCATAATTAAAATTGATTCAATTAAAATTATAAGGACTAAAATAATACAAACGTGAAAGTATAGGAATTATTAATATAATATTTCTAATTTTGAATTCAGACCGTTGGCCCGAGGGCCCATAAAAATAAAATAAAATAAAATAAAGTAAAACAAAATTAAAGTATGGCGGGCTTTGACCAGGATTCATAATGAAGAAGAATTTTTAAATTAAAAAAAAAAATTAAACATATATGCCAACTTCATGTGGCCTGCCAAATAGGTTACACTAATCGGAGTCAAGATCTCCTCTTTACACTTTTTCATTGAATTTTTTACTTGTTAGATTATTAGGTCTACTTTTAGGTTTAATTTTAATAATTCGAACTGTTCATATTTTAAGATTTGTTCAGTATATTATACCTGTAAAAAATTAAGTTGATTGGATATCAGAAAGCATGTGTTCAGAAAACTGTTTATTAAATTTAAAAAAAAATAGTTTTTAGTTCGATTTTTCCGAACACATGCTTTCTGATATCCGATCAACTTGATTTTTAACAGGTATGATATACTGAACAAATCTTAAAATATGAACGGTTCGGATTATCAAAATTGGGCCTAAAAGTAGGCCCAATAGCCCTGTAAGTAAGATATGATGCAAGGAGGGGATCTTTGCTCACACTAATCGGTCCTATGGAATCTAAGAAGAAAATGATTTTCTTGATTTGTTATGATTATAATAATGAGAGACTCAAATGGATTTTATAGGTTTAATTTTAATAATTCGAACTGTTCATATTTTAAGATTTATTCAGTATATCATATCTGTAAAAAATTAAGTTAATTAGATATCAGAAAGTATGTGTTCAGAAAACTGTTTATTAAATTTAAAAAAAAAATAGTTTTTAGTTCGATTTTTTCGAATACATGCTTTCTGATATCCGATCAACTTGATTTTTAACAGGTATGATATACTGAACAAATCTTAAAATATGAACGGTTCGGATTATCAAAATTGGGCCTAAAAGTAGGCCCAATAGCCCTGTAAGTAAGATATGATGCAAGGAGGGGATCTTTGCTCACACTAATCGGTCCTATGGAATCTAAGAAGAAAATGATTTTCTTGATTTGTTATGATTATAATAATGAGAGACTCAAATGGATTTTATATTTCATTAACAGCTTTAACCTTGTGTTCGTTGTAAAATCAAATTATTCCATGAAAAGAAATCCAACAGGGAATCAACAAAATGATTAAGAGTTAATTACATTTAGCATATTTATAAAATTTCACTTCAGCATTATACTTTCAATTATGATAATAAACTCTCTGTAATTCTAGTCAAGTAATAATATTATCAACTGGTCCTGAATTTTCGTTTAAGAAACAAATAGAAAATAGTTACGCGGCAATGGATATGATTTTCACAAGGAAACTTTTGTTAGTTTCTTAACTAGAAACTCTAGGTTAAATGATATTATAACTTGACCAGAAGTATGAAGAGTTGATTATTGCAATCGTAAGACTCAAGTGGGATTATTGAGACCAATTTTATGTAAAGTTTTTATGCATTATGTATTTTTGTGGTATGTGTTACATATTTTTGTAGTTAATATTACATATTACATATTTTTTTGGTAGGACTCATGACAATTTGTGATTAAGATGTAAAGTTATGTATTTTTGTGGTAATGTTACATATTTTGTGGTATTTGTTATACATTTTGTGGTTAGTAAACGTTTGAATAAAAAAATGTGTCATATTACTACAAAAATATGTAATAATACCACAAAATTTATTTTTGAACCACAAATTATCTTAACTCTTATGAAAAAAGATAAAAATATTTACTACAAAAATATATAATATTTAGCACAAAAATATATAAAAGTTGCATATGTGTACCATAGTGTTTCCAAGGTTTTTATTTTGGCTTTTATCTTTTCTCATATTGCCAAAAAAATAATATTATTAATTGAGAAAAAAATATCTTCTTTATTCACCCTTCACAAAATTCTTCATAAATTTAAAATCTAAATACAATTTTTTATTTTGTTAGTTTGATATAAATTAAGAAACATTCTTCGATATGCAATCCACACCGTCTACAATTCTATCACAAAATTACGTAAGTTGAATACTAATTTATAAAAGCCCTAAATTTTCATGAACTTATACAAGTCATGTTTTTATAACTAGATTCCACATGCAAATTTATAAATTGGTATTAGTATAAAATTTGATATTAGTATAAAAATTGAATACTAATTTATAAAAGCCCTAAATTATTGAGATCAATATTTTTAAGTGGAATCTTTGCATGTTTTATATCCATGTAAAGCCTGTTAAGTATGTCCTTTAGTGACAGTGACATCCTGAACATTGTGAAAAAGAAAAATAAAATCTGTTTGGTTTGAGTTTTTTTTGAAAATTGAATTTTTTATTTTTAGTAAATATTTTTAAAATTTTAAGTAATTTTTTTTTTTTACTTTTTTAGATACACCTTACTTAGGTGTGTTGGCATCTAAAGGTAAAAAATTTGTGAAAAAATATTTTAAAAATTAATAATACATAAAAATATGAAAATATATTGAATTATAGTATTTTTTATTTATATATTTTTGGTATTTAGTAATTTTTAAAAGATTTTTTTTACAAAAAATTATAATTTTATGTGTATTTATGTTAGATGTGTCTAAAGTTAAAAAAATGCTAAAATGTTAAAAAATTTAGTAAAAACAAAAATCGGAAAAAAAAAAAATAAAATTTTTTTAAAAAGTATTTTTGAGAAACCAAAAACAAGCTCTATTTTTTTTTTTAAAAAATTCATAATAATAATAAATTTTATAATTTTAATATTAATAATAAATTTTATAATTTTTAATAATTAAAATTTAAAATTTTTTATGAAACTTGTGTTTGGTTGTGTTTCCAAACAATGATTCTACACCCATATTCCAATATGATGTTTGGAACGAATTCTCAGATCACATTTCCACAACTCTGCAGAAAACTTTGTGTGAAGTGTGTTTTTCAAATTTTTCTTTTTTAAATTTGACTTAACTGGTCGTCCCACCAGATGTTCTATCGGACGTCACACCGATCGTACGGCCAGTTGATCGGAACAGTGTAATTTTTTTTTGACATATGTTAATTTTTATATATTCGAAAAAAATATTTTCGATTTTTTTTAAATTTTTTATGTGCTTTAGTAGAATTTTGAGTTGTATATTTGGTTATGAGTTGTAAATTTTTGTATCAAATATCATATGTCACATCAAAAATTCCTCACTCAATTCAAAACTCTTTTCAGGGTTGGTTTAGAAAGTGGGTTGACTTTTTGACTTTTTGACTTTTTTGGCTATTTTAGCCTTGGCTAAAAAGCTTGGTTTGGGAAGGACTTTTTGACTTTTCGACTTTTTTGACTTTTTTTGTGAGAGAAGAGTGTAATGATTATGGGTTGGATGTAATGTTTTGTTTGTTGTGGCTAAAATATCATATTTTGTCTTTTATGGCTAAAATAGCCAAAAAAGCCCACAACCTATCTTCCCAAACGGAGCCACCAAACAAAATTTTCACACTCAAATCATAATTCTAAAACTCACAAACTCAAAATACAACTCATACTCTCAAATCATATTCAGAAAGTCCTACCAAACGCAATCTTAAATTTTTAAAAATACCACTAAATTTTATTATATTTTCTTCTAAATTTACATATCAATTCTAAAAATAGTTTCCGGGACCATGCATGAATACAGGTAAAATAACAGACGGGAGCAATGGAGATGTAGCCACTGATTCTTATCACCGTTATAAGGTATATGTACATCCTTACATCTATCAAATTAGACTCTTTTCAGTTCTTGTCATTAGACAATAATTCAAGGATGGATTAATCATAATTATTAGAGCCAATCAAAATGAAGTGCCTATACTTATTTGAGTATTCTATGCCTAATTCTACTCCCTTCTTTTGCTTGAAAATGTCATGTGAAATAATAATTGGAGAAAGTAAGAGAAGATAGAGATGAGCGAATAGAGAGAGAGAGAGAGAGGCACAATTGTTTCTATATGTTGTATATCTTAATTACACAAAGAAGGCACTCTATTTATAGAGGATGCCTTGGATGCCTATGAACAATTAAATAACACTACACTAACATAATGCTACACTACACTAACATAATGCTACACTAACATAATGCTACACTACACAAAGATAATGATGCACTAACATAATGCACTACACTAATATAATGATACACTAACATAATGCTACACTAACAAATATAATAAATAAATAAATAAATAAGATTTTTGTAAGTAAATTGTAGTTATATGATTGAATTGATATATTGTAACTATTTATCGGTGATACTAATTTTCTTTATTTATTTTTTTAATTATATTACAGGAAGATGTTGCGATCATGAAAGAAATGGGTTTAGATGCTTATAGATTCTCAATCTCATGGTCTAGAGTATTACCAAGTAAGATGATTAACCATCCAATATCTCTAAATGCCATCAAACATGCATTATACACGAAGAAGGATCCTTTCTAAAAATACAAAGCAAATGAACCCACAATTGTAAGAGATAATAAGTGAAAGGGGGCTCTCACATGAAGATGTAAACGAAAAAGAAAAAAAAGTAAGAGGAAAGAAAGTGACACTAAAAATGAGATTATAATGGTTTGATTGAGTAATCCTAACCATTTGACCCAAAAAATTGATATTGTATTATCAAGTTGATGTTCAATGGGAGAAGTGATTGAGCTGATTTCATGCATTTGATGTATTGTGCTATGTACTCTGCAATTTATATCAACATATTTTCCTTTTGCTGAGAGAGTGAGAGAGACCATTTGGCAAAGAAACTATTTTTTTTAATTCTTGTTACCTATATTTGCCTAATTTTTGGGGTCATACGTGCAATATTTCTAGGTGGAAAGCTAAGTGGTGGTGTGAACAAGGAAGGAATCAAATACTACAACAACCTTATTGATGAGCTCTTGGAAAAAGGTTGATTCAACTCTCAATCATGTCATCATTGATTATCTTGTTTGATGTGGATAAGGTTCTTCTCAAAAGAAAATTTTAGATCTTCTAGAGTTTTTATAAAATTCTTGACCAAATTGATCTAGTAATAGCAGTTTTAAAATTATAATTCACAATGATGATATTTTTTTTTCGTTTTATTATTGAATTTATGACCTGAATTTGCCACATTATTTGTATGATTTTTATATTTGTATGAGATTATTATCCTCAAAATTATCTTATGTTATTATGTTGACATTTGTAGGTATAAAGCCATTTGTCACCCTATTCCATTGGGATACTCCCCAAGCACTGGAAGATGAGTATGGTGGTTTCTTAAGTCAAAAGATTGTGTAAGGAACTATAGTGATTCACGTTTTTATCTAGCCAAAATTTTATCATATCAAAGTCACCTTATTATTGGTTTGAAATAGGGGTCACCAATGGACGGTCAGGCTTACCCAACTCATAATTATTGAGTTCACGCCTCAAATATTAATGGGTTTTTCAAGTTTTAATTAGTCAATAGATTAGTACGGATCAGATTTATTTACAAAAATTAAAATCATATCCCACTTGTAAGTCCAAATCTTACAAGCCAACGTCAAACTGAATTGGATTATACATTTTTTATTAGATTTGTGTTATTAAGTTCTACACATTTTTTTTTTAAAAAATAATTCATATGATCAAATTAATTAATACTATTAAAACAATTAAATTAAAGAATAAATTCATCAAATTAACAAATTATGATAATATTATATATAAAAAGTTGAGAGTTAGAAAGATATTACTGATCACTGTCAAATTTAATTTTAACAAATTGTGATTTGTATATATATATTTTTTAAGTACAATTTATAAGGGTAATATATAAAGGCTTCTTTTTCTTTTCCTTTTTTTTTCCCTCTTAAAAATAGAACAGTATTGATTTTAATGGATTAGAATTAAATTTAACAGTGTTATTTTTTGAATAATATTATTTATTTATTTTTTTGGATGGGATAATTTGAGTTGGGTTGATGGGATGGTCAGACTGGATATATCCATGTGGGCTTATACGGGTCGGGTTCATGGGCGGGCTTGGATTTCAAACCTTTATTCAAAGCCCTAAATCATCTTCTATGAGATGAGACGGGCTGAAAAGTCAAATGGATTGAGATGGGCCATAGGACGAGTTGGGTAATACTAAATTTTTTGCTCGCGAGTCATTTAATGACAAACTAAATTGATGGTTTATAATGAATATAAAATTAATTAAGTTAACTCATTTGGCCACCCAGTACACTTATATTTGGAAGGTTAGGTCAATCTTGCATTTAGTGAAGATTAATATGTTTCTCCTATTATAGGGCTCATTGTTTTATTTATTTATTTATTCTTTACTATGGGTTCTTTTTGAAGAGAAAAGAGAAAGAGAGAAAGACTAAAAAGATATTATTTAACAAAAATGAATCCAACCTTTCTCTACAAGAGCAGGTCTCTAGATTTATATACATAGCAGTATAATTGTCTTAACAATCTAACAAATAGTTGTTAAGAGGGTTTTCTAACATACACATCTTTTTGACTAAGATGCACTTAACTACTCTTAACCTACACACACTATAAAGCTATGGCACAACTACTACTGTTGAGACTTAGCAGACGTAGACAACAAGTCCTTGGACTGCTGCTATTGCTTAGACTTAGACTTTGCAGACTTAGACCTGTCTGCATTGTCACTGTTGGAAAGTATGGCATTGACACTGGAGAGTGAGCTACTGCTTTTGTTATCAGCCCCCCTCAAGCTGAAAGGAGGAAGATCAACTAGGAGCTTGGATTTGAGGAAAAAAAATCTGCTAATAGAGAGAGCTTTAGTGAACACATCACCAATCTGATCTGAAGAGGCAACATGCTGAATAAGAAGTTGTTTAGCAGACACCTTTTCTCTGACAAAATGATAATCATAACAAAAGCAGCAGCTCACTCTCTAGTGTCAATGCTATGCTTTCCAACAGTGACAATGTAGACAGGTCTAAGTCTGCCAAGTCTAAGTCTAAGCAACAACAGTAGCCCAAGGACTTGTGGTCTACGTCTGCTAAGTCTCAGCAACAGTAGCTGTGCCAGAGCTCTATACTATGTGTAGGTTAAGAGTAGTTTAGTGCATCTTAGTCAAAGAGGTGTGTATGTTAGAAAACCCTCTTAACAACTATTTGTTAGATTGTTAAGACGATTATACTGCTGTGTATATAAATCTAGAGATCTACTCTTGTAAAGATAAGTTGGATTCATTTTTGTTAAATAATATCTTTTCAGTTTTTCTCTCTCTTTCTCTTTTCCCTTCATGGTATCAGAGCTCTGAAGCTCTCACGAGCAACAATGGTGATTCAAACTGAGAAGCCATCATTGCCTTCGAATGTTCTTCTACTTGTTTCCAATCTTCACTGTTTGATTACAGTCAAACTCAAAGATTCAAATTATTCAATTTGGAGAAGCCAGATTCAAATTTTTTTTGAAGCAACTGAGTTGTTTGGCTCTCTTGATGGATCTACAGTATGTCCATCTGCTACAACTAACGATTCTAGCAGCAACTTGATCTATAATCTTGAGTTTCTGTAATGGAAGTTGATCGATTCTTGTCTTCTCAGTTGCATAATTGCAACTCTTACTCCTTTTATTTTTTCTTTCATTCTTCACCTGAAGCATTGCCGAGATGTTTGGTCTGCTCTTGAGAAAATATTTACATCACTTTCTCATTCTCATATTCATTAGATCAAGAATCGATTGAGTACTACTTCAAATAAATCCAAATCTATGGAAACCTATCTTCAAGAAATTAAAGATCTTGTTGAAGAATTTGCTTTGGCATCATCTCCAATCTGTGATCAAGATTTAATTCTTCTGGTACTCAATGGCTTACCTGATGAGTATAATGCCTTTAAGACCACCATTCGAGCCAAATCAGAGGTGTTTACAATGGATGAAGTCTATTCTCTCTTGTGTTCTGAAGCTGTACATGTCGAAAATGGTCACAAACATGGCACTTCTGAGCTCACTGTTGCTTTCTCTGCTAATACTAGTTCTCATTCCACCATAGACAATACTCCAGCTGCTTCACCTGTTCTGTCTGATCAGAATCAGCAGTATTTTGGTCAATCTTCCTCTCGTAATTTCTCTTTTCAAAACAGAGGAGGTAATAGATCTCAAGGCTATTAGTCCAGAGGTGGTAGGTACAGTAACCAAAGAGGCAGAAGATGAGGCAGACCTCAAAGCTATGGCTTGATCTGTCAAATCTGTGGAATAGGAAATTACTCTGCCTTAGAGTGTAGACATCGAATGAATACCTCATTTCAACCTGTGTTTCCTTCTTATACCATGGGACCTTCATAAATGCCTTCTTTTAATCCTAGAGCATTTTTTGCTCATACTTCTTTTCTTGCTATGTCCACACCTATGCAGTCTTCTTCAACACCATGGTATGTTGATTCTACTGCTACTTCACATCTTACAAATGATATGAACAACCTTCATCTTTATCATCCTTACCAAGGACAAGATCAAGTAATGATTGGTGATGGCAATACTCTTCCAATTCATAACTCTAGCATTGGTATATTTTCCTTTCATTCTTTTCAATTTAGGATTAATAATCTTCTTCATGTACCACAAATATCATCCAAATTGTTATTTGTTCATCAGCTTACTTCTGATAATAATTGTAGCATTACTTTTGACAATGAGTCCTTGTGATTCAGGACAAGCTCACTATCAAGGTACTATGTAGAGGACATCATCACAATGGCCTCTACTAGTTTCCTTCTTCTTTATTTTCTCCTAAAGCGTTTTCTGGTATTAGTTCTCTTGCTACTATTTGGCATAAGAGACTAGGGCATCCTTCTTCTGCTGTGTTTTGTACCATTGCAAATAAAAGTGCCTTGTCTCTTAGTCATAAGGATTGTAACACTTTTTGTCATTCTTGCTATGTGTCTAAGAGTTACAGACTTCCTTTTGTACTCTCAGCTAATAAAACTCATGCTCCTCTTACTCTAATTTACTCAGATGTTTGAGGCCCTTTCACTAAAGTGCATGCTTCCTTTACTTACTATGTTGTTTTTATTGATGATTTTAGTCATTTTACCTGGCTTTATCCTCTTTCTTATAAAAATGAAGTATATTCTAAGTTCTTAAAATTTAAATCCTATGCTGAAAATCAGTTTTCAACCTCTCTTAAAATTTTAAGAACTGATGGGAGAGGAGAATATACTAGTGGTCAATTTGAGGCTTTTCTCAAATTTTCTGGAATTGTTCATTAACTTAGTTGTCCTCATATTCCATCTCAAAATAGAGTTGCTGAGAGAAAGCAAAGACATCTTATTGAGACAACAATTACATTACTTGATCAATCATCAGTGCCTCTAAAATTCTGGTTTAAGGCTCATGTTACTACTGTTTATCTGATAAATAGAATGCATTCTCTTCAATTGGATAATCTCAGTCCCTATAAGGTTTTGTTTTAGATGGTTCTAGATTATGATTTTCTCAAAATGTTTGGTTGCAAATGTTATCCATGGTTAAAGCCTTATACTTCTCACAAATTGCAACCAAGATCCAAGGCTTTTGTATTCATTGGTTACCATCCAAGCTACAAGGGATATAGATGTTTAGATCCTAGTTCTGGTATAGTTTACATCTCTCGACATGTTGTGGTTGATGAATCTTCTTTTCCCTTTGCTTGTTTTGATTCTTCTTCACCACCTCTTCTCTCTTCCAAATTTGCTATTAAGTCATTCTTTTGGGGTACTACTTCTACTTTGTCTTCTTCTCAGATTCCTATCTCTTCCTCTTCTGTTTTCACTTCAGCTTCAACTTCTTCTCATGTTTCTTTTCCATTTTCTCATACACCAAATCATTCTGATTCTGCTTCAGTTCTTATTCCTACCTCTTTACCTTCTGCTTCTAGTCCTGTCGAAAATAATTCTGGATTTATCTCATCTCCTTTATCTTCTTCTCTACCTGGTATTAATCTTACTATTCCTGTTCTTCCTCCTCCTTCTTCTCACTCTCTCAATTCTCATTCTATGCTCACTCAAAGCAAGATAGCTGTCTCTTCCCAAGTTGGTTTGCTTGCTACTTTTCTTGACACTGAGCCTCAAACCTATAAAGCTGCTCTACTGTGTCCTTATTGGTAATCAATCTATGCTTGGAGAATTTCAGGCTCGTCAAACTCAGAAGGCTTTGACTCTTGCTTCTCCTTCTACTCATCAACATGTTGTTGGTTGTAAATGGGTCTTTCGAATAAAAAAGAATTCAGATGGCTCTATTGCTAGGTACAAATCCAGACTAGTTGCCAAGGGTTATCTTCAAGAGG